ACACACACACACACACACACACACACACACACACACACACACACACACAAAATAAAAATAAAATAAAAAATTCATTAAGAACGACAACGATAGCTATATTTGTCAAATGGAAAGAAATAAATAAATTTATTAAATTATTTATGTTTCTTCATATCTTACAGGCCATGAATCAACTAAATAAACAAATTACTGTAACGCCGAGGACGGCTTTCAGTCAGGATTGGCCGTGTCGGCAATCGATATTGGATTGAAACGTCTCGATACTCTCGATAGATCGTTGTAAGGAGTCGAGTTGGTTACATCGAGAAACAAAGGAAGAAGCGAAGTGAACAGAGGCGAGAAGAAAACAAGAGATATAAGAAAACGTAAAATCGAGAAGGGTAATTGTATAAGCGAATTATTTGTGTTCAATTAATCTTTACGAAATACAAGCGAATTATCTGTATTCGATCACTCTTTACGAAATATCATTGTTTAACACACAGTTTCGATCGATTCCAAAGGCTGGAACAATAGATATTAGCGTTTATATGAAACCGACGCCCAACGGTATTCCAGCGATCTGAAACCATTGGAAAACGTTTGATAACGTACTGAACACGTAGAATTGCACTAAATCGCATCGTTTAACACAGTTTCAATCGATTCCATAGGCTGGAACACTCGATATTCGCGAATGAGATTATCATTTTTTTAACTTAGCATATCACTTCCGCATAAAAGCAGCACATATTTTCTTTGCTGTTTCCTCGGTGTGATGAATGGTGTGTTACAATGTACTTTGTTTCTTTCCATATTCAAGGTAATATAAAATTGACTAGAATTAATGTATCCTAACCAATCTTTTTCCTAATGATGCTTGTATAATTCTCTTTGGTAAATGTTTACATTAGATAAGGCATCTCCGATGACCTTGACATATGTTGTCAAGGGTACCCTCCTGAGTAACATCCAAGAAGTTTTAGTCGTCGCTCGCTTTTTATTAAAAAGTTGTTAATAAAAATGTATTACAAGTATTATACTAGAATCTGCGCATACATACGCTCTAATGAACTTGACCTTGACATATGTTGTTAAGGCATCATTTTCATCAACTTTTTCCTGTATAGGACATTTACTAAATGTCCTTATTCTACAATTACACTTTAATGAATTACTCAAATAAGTTACTAAGGTCTTCACGATTTTCTGTTTTGTATCACATTATCCGCAAAATGGAATTTAAGAAACATCAATTATAAATAATAGTAGATAAAAGAGTTTTGCAAGTCGCTTTCTTTAAATAAGTTTTATAATTTGATCAGTTAAAAATTCTCGCCACGTGTTTCATTATGTGTGACATATTCAGAATATTCAGTTGGTTTCTTTGATTCATTTAATTTGTATACAGTTGAATATACGCGTGTAATTATATAACTAAATAAATAATATCACTACAAATGTAGCGTGGTCTGTGGCGGACGGTTTCCAACTTAATGGGTGATTGCGAACATGTTAGGAGAGAATGGTAGTGACAGAAATGAATAGAACTGATGCAATTAAATTCCATCTGGTATGGTGTTCTACTTGAAACTCGACAAAAGCCATGATATTATTTCGATATATTATGTCTGATCATCTGATAGCATAGTTGTAACGATGTTTTCTGTAGTGATGAGTGACGAGGCAAGTGAAATGTGTTTTGACCAAGGGGAAAGTTGTGACATTCTAATATTTTAATGTTCGAATGTTTTATAAGTAATGTTTTATAAATAAACGATTTTCCAAAAGAGGTTTTAGGATTTTGTTTTTTAATCGAACACAAGTGCTGGTCATCTTTTCAATTTTTTTTATTTAATAAATGATCGAACTACGAACGAAACAATTGTTATTACAATCAACTACAAATGAAATACTATCATTTTCCATAAAAAAAAGTTAATTTTTTGAAAGTCAGGTTCCAAGTTCACATAGCTACCTCAAGTTCAAAGTAGGACAGGATTTTCATACAATTAAAATTGTATACTTATGTTTATGGATTTACTGATTGTGTTACAGGCTTAATTATTGATCTCTTTCATGTCTTTATTGCACAAGCATTTGCAATGTACAAATTATCTTTTTTAATCTGTAAGCTAATTTAATTTATGATGCAATATTAATTGAAGGTTTTAGTTATTTAAAATTAAATATTTGCTAATATTCATTGAGAATCCTATATTGATGATAATTTTATGATTTCAGACAAGTTTTTATTTAATTTACGTTTTTTAGAAATTTAGGTCGACGAGATAATTATAACTTTTTACATATTTATTCAAAATAAGTCTTGTTATGTATAAATTTATTAAATTTGATTGTGATATTCACAGATCCTGAAGATGATCCCAAAATAACAAATCGAAAAGTAAAATAAATGATAGCTCGCTTAAGACGACAAAATTATCATCTTACAATTTATTTGTTTCCATAAAAAAAAAATATTTTAAGAATACTTTTTGAATAATAATTTTTTAAAAAGAATAATTTTTTGAATACCTATTACCTTTTACACAAATACAAATATCACAGTATAATCCCACCCGATAACTTGCCAAACCATTATATCCTTTTAAAAAACGTCTTGTGTGTTCTTTTTATATGATCTAGAAATTATAACACTACCTTGGTTAATGTAAAAGTGAAAAGCATTCTTACCCCTTCGAATATTATGGGGTCCTTATCCATTTATACATTGTATTAATTAAGCTTCGCTTGTTTCATATTTTAAACAAAAACCAACAGTCCGATACGACAAAAATATAATATAATTATAAATACATCAAACAATTGATTTATAATATTTTAGATAATTTTAAGTGTCACTAAATGTAAATGGAACATAACTAAGTATTGATTATTCAAATACTGATTATATTCAATATTCATTGAATGAGTAGCAATACTTCTGCGATTAATACCTTATTTATGGTTTATTCAAGATTTTAACAATTTGTTAGATTATACTACTTTTTTCAAACTTTAAATGTTGATTAACTAAACATACGCAAATTAATGTAATTTTATTGAAATATTATATTTATTTTGATATTTATAGTAACATGCATCTAAGTATATGGGCAGTAGTATAGCTCGTCTTTGAGTGCGAAGGGTTAAACATCGCACAGTTTGTCGTCAGTTGGTGACAAGGGTCGCAGAGATTGAAAGGGGCAAATGGAAGAAATGTATTTGATAGGACTCACCAGCACTGGAACCAGTGACATGACACTGCAGACAGACAACGAGAGCGAGCAACGATGTAGTTCTCATTTTTTCACTGAGGGTTCGAACAGCAAACAGTCCAGTAGATGAACGACCGAATCGATTTACGATCGTATAGAAACGCACGTGTGAACTTGCACAATCGTGATTCTCGAAGGTCTCTGCTTTTTGTCCGTGCACCGATGTTTACCATGTAAACATTCGCGAGCAGTTACTCGTTAACGCGATCTATCACAAGTTCGGTATGTCAAAGATGGCGACGCGGGTGTCTTACCGTCGTCCCATAACGATAAATATTCTCACTGTGCAGCAAATCAACCGGTCACTTCAAATTTCGACTGAACTCCGTTTGACGTTTCGTCACCGGCAATGGCTGGGACAACATTTCCCCTATACGAGAGCCTTAAACCGACTGAGGACGGTGTGCCGAACACCCTCTCAGCGTCCCATGAGAAAGGGGTTGTGCGCACACGCGACCATCAGCCAATCACCGCGTGCGATGGCCATCGCTAACCGCAGCCGACGTTTTGCGATTTTTTTCACGGATTTAAAAAGTGCTTTTCCTTGTTTCCTGCATAAAGATACACGAATAGCCCGGGAAGAGACTTCTCTTAGCATCTCGTAGTAATTGGTGTCACCAAATACTGACATCCGAGACACTCCCTATTCTTTGTTTGTATCGATGAGACGAGCGACTTGACTACGGACATGCGTTAGTGTGAGCTTGGTCGTTGTGTGCATATGTATGTACGAATATATGCAGGTCGCTTGTTTGAAACGACCGAATATAAGGGTGCTATGGCGCAACAGGCACGCGTGACGGCCAAATATGCAAATTGTGGAACGTTACACCTTAAGCCTCTCCCAGCCGCGTGTAGAGCCTGAGTGAGAGGTGAATAATATGTATCCATAGAATTTCCATTTTTAGAGACTATTAAAATACCACCGTAGAATTTTTCTTGACAATATCATTCAAAAGCTGAGACTTCAAGGAATTTTATCCCGAGGAGTGCCCGCCAAACAACTATGTATTTAAAACCGAAAAACGGATAGAGAAAAAGTTAAATTTTTAAAAATTGTCATAATGTAAAGTTTGACCTAATTTTTCACTTATTAAACCTACGTAATAAATTTTGATTTCCCATCAGGGAGATGGAAAACTTAACGCTGTTTCGAAAGGTGTACTGATTTTTAAGTTTGCACTGGAATTTAGTGGAGTTATGGCCGTTTAAAGAGTGTCAAGTCGAAAACACAGAAGAAAAATTAAAAGTGAAAATACTCGAGAATAAGGCGACACAAAGAAACTGTCTAAGAGTAATTTTTTGTTGGAAATTTATTGTAGAGTTGACACCCTGTGTATGTCCGAACTTATACGTAGACACCCTGTAGAGTACAGTAGACTTTCGTTTAATGCTGTTACGCGTTATACATTGTATAAATACGTATTATAGAAAATCGTGCTATACAAAACGTTTTTCGCATAACACATAAACTAAAATAACATTTTTGGAATGACTATTGCTATGCAAACTTTTACTTTCTATATTTTACCGAATGAGACAGTAATTTAAAAGTAAATGGTTGAAAAAACATATTATTAATGTACGCAAAACATCTCTTTTATTGAATTGAAAAATTCATTTTTATTCATCATTAAAAAATAATATCCTCAATTTGTACATTGCCACCATGTACAAATTATGCATACAGTAGGTGTAGAAAGTATTCGTACACGTAAAATTGTAATTTATTAACTTATTTTTGATAAACAATGACATTCTACATATTCTCGGAAATCTCTAGAATAGATACATTACAAAAAAATAGCTATTTCTGTAATTTACGAAATTTGCAAGAAAAAAAAATTAATTGATAGAAACGTTGAAGCAATAAGTATTCACACAACTGTTTAATTTTTAAAACTTGATTAAAAAAGAAAAAAAATTTACATTAATTTACAAGTGTATAATACTTCCTTTGTGGGATTTCTTTTTGATTTTATAATTATTGTAACTCTTCTAAGGATTAAATTAACTAAATTATTAGTTATTCGAAGTGGGATCTTCTTCAATTCCTCTATTAGAGCTATTTTTAAAAGTACTTTACTGAAAATTTGATGTTTTCTACGATAGATAGATAGATAGATATTCACAGATAGATTTCCTATCTGTGTTACAGATGGGTACTGATTCCTTTGACAATCGGTACGAATGGGTGATTTTTGTGTGTCCAATTCTGAGCCTCGATATTATTACTTGTTCTGCTCTTGATCTTATCTTGGGGTCTCTTCTTGTTTGAAATGAGTTGTCGATGAGGTTTTTTATGTAGGTGGGTGCAGTGTTGAACCATTTCCTTTCCCACTTTGTTAATAGTTTTCTTTTACTACAATTTAATAGGTCCTCGTGGTGGAAGCGGGTCAGTGTGTTTGAGGCTAAGTCGGCGGCAGCCTCTTTTGTAGCTTGATCGGCCCTTTCATTTCCTGGGATTCCAATATGGGAAGGGATCCATATTATTACAATTTTATTTCCGTTATTTGTGAGTTCTGTGTGAATTTCTAATATTTGTAGGATGGTCTCGTTTGTGGAGGCTATATTATTGATTGATACTATAGCACTTTTAGAGTCTGACAGAATGGCTATATTTAAGTAGTTCTCTTCTTTGGCTAAAGCCAGTGCGTGTTTAATGGCCATTAGTTCTGCAGTAAACACAGATGTTGTGTCTTGTTACAGATTGGGGGGTGACAACTGCATATCCTGTACTTGATAAATTTTTTGAACCATCAGTGTAGATGTGGGTGTAATCCATGTATCTATTTAAAAGTTCATTGGTTAGGGAGATGACAATGTCACGATGAGTGTCATATTTTGCATAAGCGTTAAGGGTTATATCCGTCTCAATAGGTGGTATTGTCCATGGTGGAATTTTTGGTAGTCTTCTGCAGTCTGTGTTGGAGAATTGGATGTCAAGGTCCTGCTCTATATTGTATATTCTACAGTAGAATGGTTTTGGGTAGTTACAGAGCTGGAGGTATTTTTCGTTACATCGTTTTGAGAACGTATTCAGATAAGCAGGTTTGTTAGGTATGGTTGAGGTTTTTATCGCTTGTGCAGCGCTGAGAATTTGTCTTCTGGTATAAAGTGGGGGCTCATTGATTTCTTTTAGGATACCTTAGAATAGGACTAGTTCTGAACGCTCCTACGATTGTCCTTAGTGCTGCGTTATGTACTGGGTCGAGGATTTTAAGGCATGAATGACTCGCAGATCCGTAAATGATTGCCCCGTAATCGAGTTTGGGCCTGATAAGTGCCTGATAGGTATTTTTCAGGGTTACTTGGTCTGCAGATGGGCCTGAAGTTGGAAGCGAGTTTTTAAAAAAATCGACATTTTCGAATTTTATTGCCATTCACGCGGAAAAAAGAAATCAAAACTCTGTCGCAAATTCCACGCAACGAAATAACGTTCCAACCCTTAAACTTGGGGTGGACCACCCCTACCTCTGCCCCCCTCCCTTCAGCTCCGGGGGCAGTTTTCGAAACGGGACCTTCTCTGCATTCATCCTTAACGTATCGAGAACAAACATAGTAAATTTCATTGCCCTCCGATGTGTGGAAGTGCTTCGTTACGAAGGGGGTTGAAAATTTGCGAGCTGTTCCACCCCCCAAAGGGTGCCTATGGGGTGCACGGTATGGGTGCTGGCACTTTCTGGATCAAGGGAGTCCAGAGAATGCATTGAGTCCAAAATCGAGACCGTCGTCTAAAAATTGTGGATTTTAGAGGGGGAGGAGGGTTGTGGGGGGTGGGTTTGTCCGAGAGGGATTTTAAGGGGGGTGCATTTTGTAGAGGGCATCAAGGAGAGTCGCCCCAAAGGTTTTATTTAATTTTTCAACCCCTTCCGTCATCCCTGGCCTGTTTCAAAGAGGCGTTTTTTTACACCCTCCCCTTTAGGGGGATGAATTAACCCCTTCACATCAATCCTCGCCAATGCAACTTTGCACACACCCAGAAGACACTTGAAGATTACTCCTCACGAAGTTTCACCGAAATCGGTTGAAAACTCTCATAGTTATGAGCATTTGAGAAATCGTTCCGGTTTGCTTGTCCGCTAGTGTATTTCATGTCGCGCTAGAAGAATTATTTTGTATTCAAAAGCCAATATAAATATTGGTATTAATGTGTAAACAAATATTATCTTGAACAATAGTCAATTTCTACGTCTTATTAATTAATTACGCATTGTAATTTCAAACTGCGTCGTTTTCGAGTGAAAAATTGCATCGCTAACAGATTTTGTCTAGTGATATATTTAAGGTGATCAAATTAGGTGAAATAGTCTGTATATACACTACAATCGTAATTTAAATATTTACTATTTTAGTACAAAATGAAAAGTACTTTATCAACGGAGAGTACTTTATTGACGGAGATATCGTAACATTATCTGTTTATCGAAATGTAAATAATACTCTGAATAATGAAATTATCAATGTGTTATTATTTTTTCTTTTAGTATTATTTACATTTTATAAAACAAACAATCCTACAATGTTTCTGCTGATTTTGACAAAGTACATTCCATTTCGTACTAAAGTACCCGTTTCATACTAAAGTAAATATTTAAATTATGATTGCAGCGTAGAACATAATTTGTAACTAATAGAAATATAAATGTGATTACAATTGTTTTAAAGTAAATAAAAAACTGCATTTCATATAATATATACACATATATTACTTACCTGTAGTAACACGTTGTAATTATTTTACAAATGCACTTGTTTGGATAATAAAATTACATTTACGAATGGCATAGGATAATCTTAAAAGTTTATAAAAAAAATTAACTTGCCGAAACCCGGGATTGAACCGGGGACATCTAGATCTTCAGTCTAACGCTCTCCCAACTGAGCTATTTCGGCTTGTACTAGTACCTGATGTGTATATCAATATTACATATACTGACCTATTTCTCATTTATATTTTTCATTTTATGTATAAATTTACGACGTATATTATCTGTATATCGTTGTTGTTGTTGTTGTTGTTGTTGTTGTTATTATTATTATTTCAATTACAAATATAAATCGTAAATTTTTCTTAGAAATTGTAAATCATCACTATTTTATGTATCATATGATATTGATATGATGATTGTATATACAATTACCGTATACGTATATGGATTTTTATTTATTAATATTTCATTAAAATACTTATATCATTAATACTTAGTAATATAAATTTCTAAACAAATGTTATCGAGCTGTTCCCAGAAAATATCGATTAGCTTTTAATCAATTAGAACGAAATACTTTGGAAATATATATTTACAACACATGCTCCGCAAAGAGAATAAATTATAACTAACTAATTATATTTACAACACATCATATTATTTTCAAAAGCAATAAAAACAAAAAATTTATTAAAGTGTTTATTTGTTAAAGTGCGTACTCGCCGTATTTTGTCTGTACTTTGATCGCGCTCGGTTCTTCGTTCTCTAATTCAACTTACATACTTTTATCACATTGTTTCGCGTATCCTGTTGCTTGCTAGTCTTTGCACGATGCACAAGTTTACATTTCCCAGAACAGGCTTTAAGGTTATCCGAAAGGAAAGAGATCGGTTAAAACTCACGGTCGAGAAGCGAAATCATGCGTCGAACGAAGACAGATGTAGACACTACGAAAACAAACCACGAATTTGAGAGAGATGAGAAAAGAGAGAGTCAAGGACGTACAGGTAAGTTCGATCTAGACAGCTTTTCTACAGGTATACTGTATTTATTATTACTATAGTAAAGGCATGAGCAAAAAAAAGTAAATAGCTAATATCGTAAAGTTGTTCTTTTATAATAATTAACACATGTATTTCAGTAAAGTAATAACTTATATAATACTAATTCTAGTATTTTCCGGCGACGTTAATACTTTTTTAATTGTTAGATTTTGTTCAAATATTATCTTCTGTGTACCGTATTACACTGAAGAACAATTTTCTGGTTATCTGTTAAAGGAAAAACAGGAATAAACGACATTCTCACGTTTTGTCCTCGAAACTGGTTGAAGCAAGTTGAAAAGTTCTCGAGGCCGCCATGATGTTCTTCCTGTCCGAACTTGGCCTACAGTCTAGTCCGCTCGCTACGTTCACGATGTTCAGTGTTGCGTTGTACGTAGATGGTGACGGTTCGTCGAAGGAAGACGTACGACTGGTTAAGAACGTAATTACCATTTGCGAGGGGTGATAAAGAAAATTGAAGGGTATATTTTTTCGTCGCGCCCTACCGTGCGTAGGCGCATCGAAATAAGGGAGAAAATTCAATCTTTTAAGGCTGCAATCGGACATTATGGCGAATTTGAGGCAGACACCGCTGACGTGTAGTGGACACACTAGACCCGTAGTGCATCTTGCATTTTCCGATGTCACGGACACTGGATATTACTTGATATCGGCATGCAAAGGTAATTCGTTTTTTATTTTCCTAAGCTATGAGAAAACTTACTGTTACCTCGTGTTGGTCATTTTTTCTCGTTTCATGATCAACATGTTCGGTTCTTGATCTCCTTGGCCCAGTTCCTTCGTACATCCAAGGTTTCGCGAGTTATGGGTTTCGAGGTTAGACGGTATGTTCGCGATGTCACGGATTTCTCGTATAATTCTTTTGTTATCGTAGCATATGCTCTCGTGCTCGAAGGGGCTATTTTTCTAATACGTTTGAAATACATTAAATTAGTTTACATTTATTCGTCGTACGTGTATGTACACTCCGGGACAAAAAGATACCACACTTCAAAATTAACATAATTTTTATTTATTTAATACTATAACCAATATTTTGTTTTTATACATTCTTGCAAAATACCTCTATAAACATATACAAATAAAATTGGATTGAATTTCGGCAGTCTATACAATTTTATTAAAAAAAAAATATAACTTTTAAGGAAATATAGTGGGACAAAATGATAGCACATTTAACTTAAAATTGTGTATAACAATAAATCAACGAATGATATTTAATGCTTAATATCTTATGCCTTCTCCTTTACATTTACTAACAGCCATCATTCTCTTTGGCAAAGATTTATAGAGTTTTTTAATAGTTTTCTGCTTTAATTGGTCTTACTCATCTTGAATACATTTTTTTAATTTTGCAATATTTCCAAATTGTCTGCCATTTCCACATACAGCTCGGGCAAGATTTCTCCAACAATTTTCAATAATGTTAAGGTCGGGTGACCTTGCTGGCCAATCCAAAACACAAATTTTTTCTCAAGAAAAGTGTTCTTTTACTACTTTTGCAGTGTGTACTCTGGCATTATCCTATTGAAAAATAAACTTCTCTCCAGCAATTCTGGTTGCATACGTGTTTATTTGTTCCTTAATCATTTCCAAGTATATTTTGATATTCATTTTTCCTGCTATAAATTTGATCACACCACCATCTCCCCTTTGCCGACGACTCGAAAACTGTTCCTCTTTTCATCCGTAAATATTATTCTTCGCTATTTCTTTCGCATATGAATATTCTTTTGCGCAAAGTGTAATCGATTCATCTTATGTTGCACAGTTAACCAAGGCTTTTTCTTTAAATTTCTTCATGTTATGTATTTGCAGTTTTGTAAAACACATCTCATATTCTCTATATTAGTGTCTACACCAACACTTTGAGCTATTTGCCTTGAAGTCATCTTAGAATTTGATGCTGTTCTTAGTATTGCACGTCGTTCCCAGCCATTTAGACTTCGAAAACGTCCAGAATTCTTTTTTTACCATAATTTTCCAGATTTTTCAAGCAGTTCATTATTACTTTTCGACTTCTGTTCATAATTTTTTTTTTGTCACTGAATATTGTTCTTCTTTCAATTTTATTATAGTGTCAATTTCACACGCGTTTAATCTCTTTCCGCGATGCACTTTTGCATAATATTTCGCCTTTTTTGAACAAATATACAACACGAAATAATGTCACGGACTTTATTAAATATGTTCTGGGGTTGATGTTCGCAATTTGCGACCTTCAGTGTAACTAGAAACCATAGATTTACTACATGTGCTATCATTTTGTCCTGGTTGCGAACAATAATATTTACATTTTTTGTGTTAGAATCCTATCTAAGTATATGTTGTGGACGATATTTCATAAATTGTATACACAGACATGCTCTGAGTTATCAGTAAAAGAAAATATGTATCTTAATCAGCTTTTAACACAAAATATGGGAAAATATAAGGTGTGCATCTTTTTGTCCCAGAGTGTATAGAATTACCATCACTAAATCATACCAACAGAGTAGATATAGAAAATACTCATTAAAAGTAAACGATGATGAGGAAGAGGATAATAATATTTTTCTATGCTCGTGAAATATAATAGGTATTCGAAAAATTAAAATTATTCATCGAACATAATTTTTGTCAAAGTTGATATAAAATTTTGAACGAGTGACCAGTACAACTATCATTCCAAGAATCAAATTATGTTATAAATTAAAGTAGATAGCCATGCACATTGCACATATGTTTGCATTAAATAATCATGAACCAAATCAATAATTAGTGTCTTAACAAAATCAGTAATTTGAATATAAAATTTTATTTAATAAATATTTTGTGCTCAAACTCTGACTAATACTTTTAGTTAGCAACATGATTCAAAAATTGTGAGCAACTATATTCTTTCTAAATCTGATTTTTTATTTTGTTACTTCAAAGAAACGATAAAGGAAAGAAAAAAACTTTTTATACACATATATTAACATACATATATCTATTGGTATTATTTTCTGAATATAATTTTTGGTAGCATATTACAAAAATAATCATGTACAAGTAGTAATTATGGTTATTTACAATGAGAGGTCATTAATCATCAATTTTTTTTTTAAGGTTTGTCATTAGCAATTATTAAATAGTTCTAATAAAAAAATATGATAATATATTTAAAGTATTATGATAGAAGAGCATATGAACAATTAACAACATTAAGTTTTTGCCCTTCTAGGAGAAGTCATTAATTCGGCCATGTACTGAAAATCATTTTTCTTTAGGCAGATATTTTAGTTGTTGACGAAGCTAATGACTGTCTCCTAGAAAGGGAGGAATTTAATCTCATTTACTATTTTCTAGAAATGCAGTTTTCTATCAAATAAAATGTGATATTGAATATTTACAACAGATGTGGGTAACTGTTTGGTATCATGTGCTTCATAGTTTTGTGGCAATGGCACATGGGATTTCCACTATTTTATGACACTAAATACCAACTTTTAACAACGTAAATTACTGCAAGCATTCGCTTGTCCATGTTTGGTCTACAAACTCGATGATTTCAAAGTCCTTGAAGTCTCTTGGCAATAAAAGATCATTAAATATTCCGGAACAAACAATAATTGTCATTTGCCTTTAGCTTTCAAGATGTAGATATTACAACTCAGAATTATAAATTTATGTCTTCATAGGCATTATGTTGCAATTTGCACAATCATTAGGTTGTCTGTTGCTAAAGATGTTTTTAGTAAGAAGCTCAAAAAGAAAAGTTATTGTAATTGTCATTTATATGGAACTTGGATCATTATTTTTCTTTTTAAACTTTTACAAACGTTTGTAATTAAGTAATGTTCTAAATTGATCTGGTTCCATTTTCTAATCGTTATATACTGAAAACTAAGAAAGAGCAAATACCTTTTGTTCGATAACTCTTTGATATATTCAAAGTCATTGGAATTATCGAGATCAGTACTAATATTAATATAATTACTATTACTATTACTAATATAATTACTAAATGTCTACCTGATAATGTAAAACAAGAAATGTAATTGTAATCATATATCATTTAGTTGATGTGCACATTATATAAAATATTTATTTTGCTGTCAGTTTCATAATATAAATTATCTTATATATATTGCAGTGATAGTAAAATTTTAATTGCATTAACAGTCTTGTAATATATTTTTTAATAAATATGCATGTTATGCACATATTTATAAACAAAGATAGTAACGAAAAAAAACTGCAGTAATTATCAACAAATGTACATAAAAATTATTTACCCGTAACAAAGGTTGTAGAAAAGAAACATGATTATGAACTGGAATGTAGGTTTTTTCTTTTTAAAGCAATCATTAATTGAGTTCAAATATCATGATTATTTGTGGTGATATAATTGACTTAAATTTGAGGTTTGAGGTTGACATTTAATTGTCTATAATAAATGTAAGTTTTAAAATCATTAAATTCACCTTATAAAATTTCATAAAAATTTTGAATTCGTCCACTGTTTCATGAAACTTTAAAAGTTTTATAAATTAATAGTAAATGTACGACGTGTTTAGATGGCAAACCTATGTTACGACAAGGAGACACTGGAGATTGGATTGGAACATTTGAAGGACATAAAGGAGCAGTGTGGGGTGTTGCACTGAATCCTGATGCTACAAGAGCTGCTTCGGGCGCTGCTGATTTTAATGCTAAAGTCTGGGATGCAATTAAAGGAGAAGAAATTTATTCCTTTCAACATAAGCATATAGTCAAGTCCGTTAACTTTAGTACCGATTCCAATTATTTGTGTACCGGATCCAACGAAAAACTTGTACGGATTTATGATCTTAACAAGCCAGATGCAGCACCTCAGGTATACATTTGTGTTTCTATTTAACGAAACAATAATACTTTATCTAACAAATTATATTGACAGGTTTTCTCAGGTCACAAACATGGTATAAGGCATGTTACCTTTTTCAATAATAACACTCAATTAATTACTTGTGCCGATGACAAAACATTGAGAGTCTGGGATAGAAATAGCAGTCAAGAAATAAAGAGGCTAGACTTTTCATCTATTCCAAATTCAATGGAGTTGTCGAAGGATGGAACTATCATCACAACTACTCATTCCAATATAGTGACCTTCTGGAATAGTAAAGAGTATGTTTACTTTTATTTTTATGAATTTAAGATCAGTAAACAATATCTATAAAAACCGAAGATAATGAAACGAGTTTCAAGGTAATCGAATAAATAGAATGTACTTTATATGCGTCTGTAGGATGAGCGGTTTAAAATCCTGATCATGTATTCGTAAATTTGTTACATAGCCTTTAAGTTAACCTTGTCTCGTCGAGAAGTACTTCCTGGGGTAACACTTTACATTTTAATGAGTTCCACATAATTGAAGCTTCTAGATAATTTGAAGATTTAAAGATTTTAGTTTAAAAAGGTAGCGTACTATACGTGTAAAGTAACTTATTGTTTTTGTAGCTTAACGAAAATACGTGAATATGTTGTGCCAACACAAATGAACAGTGCTAGTTTGCATCCAGATTGCAGTATTTTTGTATGTGGAGGAGAAGATTTAAAAATGTACAAATTCGATTATAGTACAGGTACAGAAATTGGTAAGTTCGCTGTTTTCATAAAATTAATATTCCAAAACATTATATTTTCCTGCATTTTAGTGGATCTGTAAACGTTTAAAATTAATTTCAGAGTCTTTCAAAGGACACTTTGGACCTATACATTGTGTACGTTTTTCACCAGACAGTGAATTATATGCAAGTGGCTCGGAAGACGGTACTTTGAGATTATGGCAAACGACAGTTGGTAAAACTTATGGTCTCTGGCGATGTATAGAGCAATCATCTATGGTACAAGAAAATGCTGCAGTGATTAATAATAAACAAGAAGTTCCTGCGAGTTAAAAATTGAACAATTCATGGATAGTGTAAAGTATTTTGACATTGGAGAATAGACACTTTATGAGCAAAAGTGATGGTAAGACAGCAAAGGACTAGAGTTGAAATTTTATTTTACTAGCTGGTAGCTGCCGAAACGTTTTGTAAATATTGGATCTCTCTTAAGCAAGTTCCAATCCAATTCAGCCTATTGAAACGTGATACTCCGAAGAAGACTAAAATGCGGACCAAACTTCACGGTAGTCTGATAGGTCATGGAAGTGTGGAACGCCATTCAATATTTATTATAAAGAAGAAAAAAAAAAGAAACATTAACATTTATTAACGTTATACATGCCATTATTATACTACAAAATTAGATAGAGGATGTAATGACAGAAAGAAAGACAATTCAAAATGAAATTTTGTGTTCGCATTTGTTATTTTGCGTAATAATTACTGTACAAATATAAAAACGATTCACCTAGTACAGTGATAGAGCAGTTCCTTAAAACACATATCACTCATCCGCCCAGTACAATATTCACATGTAACCCCTCTTTCTAACAATGTCACAACGTCAACAAGTGTCATGACAATTTATTGGAGTCCTCTTTGCCTTCACGTCGCAATTATGTTCTACGAGATCACTGTACAATTTTTCCTTCAAACTGGCAATGACAGCTTTCTATTTATACGGATTGTGTACTGACCACTTTATGGTATCAAGAGTACGCCTTCTCTCGTAAATTACATATTTCTTACAATCTATACAATAATACTAGTAAACATAACAAATAAAAAAACTGAGAGGTAATTGTTACAAAACAAAAAAAAACGGTATTCCCTTCAAATCAATTCCGGTTAGGATTAAATACAATACGCGCACATCTCGATACATTCTTTATGGGGCATTCGTGTAGCTTTACATTTCCGAATACTCTCGACTTCTCTCCGAGGGATGACATTAAAAAGTATACACGCACACGCAACGTGTCACTGAATCGTCGATACGATTATCAACGATGAGCACTGCTTGTTAACCGTTCCTGAACGTCACTGCCGTTGTACAGTCTCTTGAAGGAAGACAGCGTGTCTCTTGCATGTGATAGTTAATAAGCAACGAATTGTATGAAAAGTCTTTGCCGATGTTTTCCTCGTTCAGCCTATGAACTGCGAGAGGTCAGGTAATTTAAAACCGTTGAAGGAGACCGGTGTTGGTGCACTTCGTAGACTATTCCTGTGCGGCGCAAAACCAGGGAAACTGGTTGGTGTTGTGAACTGCTGAAACCTCGAGGTAGTTTCTGTGGCCGCTAAAACGAAACCACACTGTGCGGTGCATACATCGTCTCGTAAGATCGCTTCTCGAGAAGCTTCGCGTAGAAGTTGATTGCAGTCCGTGATTCTCAAAGATGCGCATTGAGTCTGAAATGAAAATTAATTATATAATTATTATATATAATATAATAATAATTATTATTATATAATATAATTATATAATATAATGCTTCAACAAATTATATGTAACACGTTTCTTACTACGTGTCGTGTATACGTGACAGCGATTATCTTTTTATTCAATGTTCATGTAAATAAATGAAATCTTGTAGGTTACAGTCTTGGACTTGCTTGTTTATCTTTCAAAATTATGCCATTTCATATAAAGTGTGTTTGTACACTTATTTGTCTAATACAATCTTATGCAAATAAAACTTATTCTGTATGATCACTAATAAAGTTGCTAGTTGCCACAGATGTAACATATTTTCTCGGTTGAAAACCAGAATTATCATGTGCGAAACATTGTAGTACGAGTAACGTTGGAAATCTAATAGATACTTACGCCTTCGGCTGTGCAAACGCAGCTAGTGCAAGGTGTGGGAAACCCAGACTCTCCCAAGGCAACGTTTCTTCCACCGATTTGGCAGCCGTGTCTCGTTTCTCTCCAGGCGGACAGATCTAGCTGCGGCATGGAACTGCATGGAACGCGTGGGTTTAAGAAATTACTGGGCAGGTCAAACGCTGCTCTTTGCATGTCGTTATGCTCGTCCATGTTATCGCACATAACTTTGGACAACGTGACCTTGCGAATCTCCCCCAATTGATGTTCGGTGAATCGGATATTCGGATCGTCCGTTTCGTACCAGAAACGATCACATTTCCTCGCCTGCCGGAATTGTATAGCTATTATGCAAGCAAAAGTCGGTCCGACGAGTCCTCCTTGAAGCGGCCTTTCGCTCAATCCGCCGGGGAATAAATCTATGTCGTCTACAGAGGCGTAGATACGTTTCATACGAGCTATGACCTCTGGCGCCATTTCTCTCGACAAGTCTTCGAACGTGGTAGCCCTCTTCAGATTGCACAGAGCTCTGTAGTTATTGTAGGACGGTATCCCGTGATCCCTGGCGCGATGCACGTTCAGGGCTATCAAATCTATTCCTGAATACGGAATACCACGAATTTCGAATAGATGATTGGTCACTTCTCCGGTTATAAATTGATCCAGAGACTCCATAGGGGTGGCCACCAATCCTCGAATCATCTCGTCTAACATGTTTTGCTGGTAGAGCGCGTCAGGATCGAAGAAACCGTCGCGCAGTAAAATGGACGGTTCGATGTTCTGGTAGTTGCGATCCATTCTTGGTAGATGAGGTCTCAGGAGCGAGTGCCCGATTCGGTAAGCTGCTGTGGCGAATTCGGTGAGGACACTCGGATTGCAAGTAGGCGAGTACTCCTTGTAATAGCCCTGAGGTAGGAGCTTCAATCCGTACAGAGTGACGGCGTTCCAGCCGAGGATTCTCGGTAGAAATTCGTTGTACGTGATGTGTTGCATCAGCGCACTGACGATACGACGGGTTTGCTGAAACAGCTTCTCACCGTCCCAGTGAGGATTCACCTGTCTCATACCTTCCACGATTCGGTTGTGCTCGCGTATCCAGAAAGTATGCATGACTGTTAAGGCTGGCTGCTCGGACGCACGTCCGTCACCTCCGATGAAACAATATCCAGACTTTGCTTTGCACTCGGGGTGAGTCGCCGACTGAGGCAGAAGGTCCTTCGACCCGCGGTGGGGACTTTGCGTGACGTTCATGCGACCATTAAAGCCACGCAGAACGTTGCAGATACAAGTGTTCTCTCCGTAGATCACAGAAGCGTCCAGAAAACCAGTGTTCTGGTTGATCTGTTCGCGTGGCCCCAGACGCTGTTGTCCTGGCAGCGATCTCATGGACGGGAAGCACATTCGCGCGCCAGAGGAAACGTTCACCGTTGGATAGTAATGGTCGCCGGGAGGCACTGGGAAAGGATTGCACTCAGCGTGTACCGTGCGAGGCGAGTCGCAGGAACGACAACTCGGTATAGACTCGGCGAACCCTTTGTGGATTGGTGTCATTGTGAGATCGTGATCCAAAAACTGAGCGAACTGCATAACCATCAGCGAATACCGATTGTGAAGATGAGAGATGTCAGGATGAATCACGGTGGACACTACTCTTGGGTTGGGTAAAGGTATTCCCGTAACCGATGTCACCCTTGGTTTCGACACTCCGTCCTCGTAGACGGGAGGTAGCAATCTGGCGAAGGTCGTCAATGATTTCCCGAGGCTGGGGTTGCGGAGGTTGTTACAGTGACCGGAAAGGGTTCTATAAGGTGTGGTTGGGTCGCAGGTGCTGTCGTCTGATGGGCACTCGACTTCCTCGTGGTTCGTCGGCTTGTTGTGGGTCAGGAATCCGGATATGTCAACGTTTTGCAGTAAATCGGAGAAGTCATTGTTGGGGAAACCAAGAATGTTGTCCGTGGTGTCAAAAGCCTGTCGTTTCCTACGTTTCAGACCGTGCACGCCGTTCAAAATCTCATTGGTAGCCAGCTCGTACATGATCGACGAGTTTGCTAACAACAGGGCGTCTCTGTTGGCTTTGGAAAAACTAGCTGCTGTGCCAGCTGGCGATTTCGGGTCTGCTATTCTTTGCTCCAACCATGAGTTGTATTCCAGTTGTTTCCTTTCGATCAGATCAGCTTCCGCTTTCTTCACTGCCGCTGCCAAGAGGCTAGGATTGAGTTCAGGTACGAATTCTGGAATCACGGGCACTCCGATGACTTTTTCTTTAACTGGTTCCGGCAGAGGCTCCTCTTGCCACGGAGTTATGTCTAGCACGCTATGCTGGTCGCAGCTGATCCTGGCGTTCAAGTACGGATCGAGTTGGATGAACGCTTTAGGTTGAATCCTACGAATGTTCGTGTTCGTGCAGAGGATACCAGCCAACGAAACTTTCTTTATCTCGGCAAGTTGGGCTGAGCTCAATCCCGAAGGGGGAATGTCGTTCTCGTACCAAAATCGATCGGAATTTCTAGTTTTGATTAACTGTTTCTTCAGGAGGCATTCGAACGTCGGGCCCACTGCTGCGCCCTTCGTAGGAATTTCTAAAATTCCACCCAGAAGGAGGTCTATGTCTTCCACCCGAGAGTAAATTGATTCTAGCAGCTTCGCGTGCACCGGCCGCATGAAGCTTCCCAAATCTTTGAAGTCCTGAACCTGGGAATTTAAAAACAAACTTGTTTTAATTATGTAAATTTGTAATAAAACTGTTCATTTCGGACAAGAGGAATTGGTAGAATTATCATTAGGGGAATTTAGTCGAGTTCTAAATATTATTTAGAAGTTTGTAAGCAATTTAACAAAAATTCGACATAATACTGTATTATCATCAGAGCTGGGTAAAATACGTATTTTAAATAGTAAATAGTAAATAAATACTTTATTTCGGATCATGCAAGTATTTTTTTAAATAAAATATTTTATTTGTCATAAGAAATATTAAGATAATATTTCAAATAATATTTTATTTGAAAAACACTGAAAATATTTGTACCATAGTTCGGAATATTTTATTTTACTAAATTATAGTATAAAAAAAATATATATCGAATTGAGTAATTTCCTTTTTCGAAGTTGGATAAAAAATATATTTATTTTGGTAATCTAAAACGAACGAAGTACTTTTCCTCTGCATTATAAACATACATTCAATGTAGTTCTTCAATGAATACTTCTATTAAGAATCTTCATAAAATGAATGATGGAAAAAGATATTCTTCAATCGCAAGAAATCATAATATTTGCAATAAATAGTTTCTCTATCTGTGCATCATACATACACAGTTTATTTTTAAATTAAGAACTATGGAAAGTATTCTATTTTATGCTTTTTTATGCTATTAAAATGAAACATATTTTATTTTATGTGTTAAATTATCAAAATAAAATATTTTATTTGCTGAAATTTTATATTCCATTTGAAATATTATTTTATTTGAATTATGAAGAATCTATTATTTGAAATAGATTATTTGGTTCTTGTATTTTGTTAACTAAGGGTAATTTTTAAAATTTTACTACTACATACATGTACGTAAATATGTATGTATTAGGTTGTCCCAGAAGTTTCTTCCGTGATTTGCATTCAGTTATTTTAAATGGCACTGTTCATATAA